AGCAACCAGCGGCCCGGTAAGTTGGGGACCCCTGAGTTAAGTGATGCCACAAGAATCCTTTCTTGGTGCCTGGAGACTGTTGTGGTTTGGGCAATAGGTTAAAACTGAGCCCTGTAAAATGGAGCATGTGTCAGTTGCACCCATTCCAGTACCATAATATACTTTTCACACTCGCCCATTCTGTAGTAATCTCCTTTTCGCTATTGTAATGTGCTTTCCATAGAGATGCCCTTGAAAAGTATCTGGAAGCTTCAATTGATTCAGATATAGCAGCCCACAGAGTTTTGTGAAAACCCTAGTTTACACATGTGCCACCTGTTGCAGGAGCTGCATTGGCTTGTGATTTGCTTCCAGGTTCAATTCAAGGTGCTGGCTATTACCTTTAAAAGCCTACATGGGCTTGAAGATTTTCACTTTTAGTCACTATGAATGATGTATATGTGGTAATGTGGCACAATTAATTGGTTTTTCAGTATCACCACATTGCTTAACGATGGAGTTCCATGAAAATGGAACATTTTTAAAATACTTTAAAATACTTCTAGAATTCAGAAATTCTTTAGGTTCTTTTCATTTATCTGTTTGCTCTCCAACTGTGCTACTTGTTCTGAATTGTTTTCTAACTATGGTTATTGCCATAGGTATTTTTATAACTTAGACATTTATACTCTTGGGAAGTATATGAAATACGTATATATTATCACTGCTTTGCTGTCAGATCAGGTTTACTGGAATTTTGTTTCAAATACTTCAGTATTTGAATACAGTATACTTCAGAATTAGAATGTCATTGAATTGTCTTATGCTTTATGAAATAAAAACTGCATATTATCATAGTTATATTCTGCTTTGGTTTAGGGATTCAGTATGAGAGATTCAATTATTTGATTCTAACCACAGTCTCCTATACAAATGTAGATAAGTAAGGTGCTTATTTTTATTTTAGAGAGAAACATGCGCATGATCCAGATTCAGGAGAATATGGCAGAACAGAAGACAATTAAGGATAAGCTGGAGAATGAACAAGAAAAACTTCATGTAGAATACAACAAGGTAAGAAATATTCTTAAAGCCCTGTAAAATTTATATGAGGTAGTTAATTAATTCTTAAAATGTAGCAGAAATTAAATTCAACACTTTGATCCATGATTGAATATCCCCCCCCCCCCAAAAAAAAACCTGAAGTTAAGTTCAATGTTTCAGTGATCTTTATTCACAGTTCAGTAACTTATTGAAAAGTATTTCTCATGTATTGGATTTGTGTACTTATCTTTGATTATTTTCAATGTCTGCAACTGAGATCAGGCATTGAGACAGGCACTGTCAAATAACATAAGGTAATTTCAGGAGCATTTTTATTCCTTATTTGTAACTACTACAGTAGAATTCAGGACCCACAGAGTCAGTATTTGTCCGTCAGACTCTATGTTGGCAGTAACTACCCACGCTTCTATGAAACAATAGTGACTTAGCAGTTTATGAGACTTACCGTATTTATCGGCGTATAACACGCACAGGCGTATAACACGCATCTTCATTTTAAGAGGGAAATTTCAGGAAAGCGCCCGTTTCACCCCCACTCCCACCCCCCGCGCGCGCTTCAATCCACAGTGTCCCGTTCTGCCTGCCTGCCTGCCTGCCTTAGTTTCTGGTTGTTTGGGAGCAGCTTCGGCTGAGAATAATAACTATTCGCCTCTTTTACTCAGCCGAAGCTGTTCCGATTCAACCATTAACGAAGGCAGGCAGGCAGGCAGAACGGAGCACTGCGGGCGGGCGGGCGGGCGGGCGGGGTGGGGGTGGGGGAGAAACGGGCGCTTCAGGGAAGCCCCCCCCCCCGCTTCTTTGAAGCAGTTTCTTCCTGTGCTGGTGGAGGAGCGAGAGAGCGACTGACAGAGCTGACCCAGAGAGAAGGACAGGCTTCGGTTGCTTCCTCCCTCCCCTTCTTTCATTTGTGTCCTTGATCCCCGATCCCAGCAGCATTCACCGAAGGCTTCTTAACATTATATCGGCGTATAACACGCATACATCATTTGCCCCCTATTTTCAGGGGGAAAAAAGTGCGTGTTATACGCCGATAAATACGGTACATTTGCATTATAATATCCAAGCCTCTGCTACAGTCTTGAAGGAGCATGTAACATAAAATTTAAATAAGTAATTGTTTAAATACAAGATTGTTTAAATGTATATTCAAATATAGAATTTACCCATAATAGATAAAGGTAACTGTTTACTCCGGCTTTTAACATGGCCATGACTGTATGAATATGTCCCTATTTGTTAGAATTGTCTAAAAATAAGGACTAGTCAGGACCGGAAAATGTTGTTTCAAGTTAAACTTTTAGAGGACTTAATCTGATTTTATATGTTCTTACCTCAAGTGTGTAGATTTGTTATACTGAAGTTTTCATTCCCAGTATAGAATTACTTGGCGCTTTTTTACATATGGAAATAACAGAGTGGAACTGTTGTGAGGTTTCTTACTGCCATTATAATTTTATTGTCAGATAAAATTATTTATGTTCTTTTTTTACTAAGCAGATGGATGCCCATGTTTTCTTTCTGGAGTTATGAATGGTTGATTAACTTTCACTTGCATTGACATAAAATAGCAATTTTATTATTTAAATATTTATGTAGAAAAGTATTGTAAGTAAAGAATGCCTCTTCCTGGAGAAGAGATGCTAAATAATTTCTGCATTTTTTGTGCAATTTTAATTTTTAGTTGTGTGAATCTTTAGAAGACCTTCAGAATATGAATTCAAAGTTGCGAAATGAAGGGCAAGGAATGTGGGCTCTCCTAGGAAGAATTATTGGACAGGTTGGTCTCTCCACTCTTTCCCCCCCTTTTTTATGTTTTTTAGATCACGTGATTCATAAAAATATGTTTTTTTGTTTTTTACTGTCAGTTTTGGTGGGTGGAAAGATACATTTGATAAAGTCTTGGCCTTTCTCCTGGAGGTAATGATTTCTGATTGAAATATATCTTGGGCTCCACAAAGTACTTACTAGGAACCTGTACTTTAATTTTGTTTTTGTTTTAGCTATCTTGTTTGCAAAATTCTTTCATTTGCTATAACTGATTGACCTGTCATTTGTGATGAAGCTAAACCTGAAGCATGAGTTAATCTAACTGCTCTTGCTGTCTTTTGTTTTTGTTTTTGACTCATAGCAATTGAAGCTTCCAGACAAGCAGTTTTTGTTGGGAGTAGATTGTTTTCTAGAGCTGCTTTTTGTGAATATACTACACCAACAATATTTTTAAATTATGTATATATAAAAATTCCTTTTCTTTTTAAGGAAACAGTATTCTAAAGCACTAGTGGCTTTTTATAGTAGTAACAGCTGATTGTCTCAATCCATCATTTTTATATTAACTGTGTTATAACGCATTTTAACTAGATGGTTTCAATATTTAATTTTATTGTATGTTGAGTAACATTTAAAGAGGCAAAAATCTTCTTTCCCAGTTATCTACCTATTCTCCTAATTTCCACTTTTTATTTCTAAACATTAGAATTTATACTTCTATGGAATTAGCTATATTTACAAACACTAATTTTTGTGGTTTACTGTTTAGTATTTCTCATCTTAGCATTCATAAAATTGAAAGTATTGAATGAGTTAACAGTTCTTAAGAAAGTAAACACAAATACAATTGTGTGATTTTCAACATGAAAAGGTCTTGGGGTTTTTTAAATACAGGTCATTATTACTGTTATTTTTTTAATAAAATAATGACTAAAAAAATTAGACAACTGGTCAGGAATGGTATTATAAATAGCCTAAGGATTTAATAGTGTACAGTTAAATGTTTATATAGATCTGCTAAGCTGGCTGGTATTTTTACTCTAATATGATTTACTAGAAATCTATTACCATAGGTGTAAGTTTCTTAATAAATTTTGCCACTTTAAAAATAAAAAAAATTACAAATGTGTTTCCTAGTGCAATTATTTAATAATGATAAAAGTAGTAGTTTCATTTGCATAGCTTGCATGACACCTTTTTCCAGTTGGTTGAACAGATGCAGCCCCTCAGGGCCCCTGAGAAATGACTTTGATAGATGGTTGCTGTCTGTGAAGCTAGCATACTGCAGATTAGTGGAAACCCGAAGAGAATCTCTGCTGCTTTGTGGAGAGTTTGGTCCAATAAGATAATTTTTCTAATTAACCTATGGAGCACCACAGTAGCAGAGATGCTGAGGAAAATAAACTGCTTCAGTATTCTTTTGTGAAGTGTAGTAGATTTTTCTTTTTCCTTTTAACCTTCTAAACCAGCTTGTCCTTGCCTATTTCTTTTAAAGCTTTCTCTGTTAAAGGGGAGGAAAGTTAAAAAGGCAAAGCTTTAATGTCTCTGGCTTCTTTTTTCTATTGCATTGAGAAATATGTGAATGCAGTTTCAATTCTCAAAAGAAATTTAGAGTCGGAAAATATAACATAGTCACATTTGTGACTTGACAGTTTTTCAGACATTTCTTCCAGTCAAACTGCTGACTAGGAAATACAAGGATATGTTCGTTATATATTTGTCTTACCAATATTCCTATATTTCCTCAAACCCCACAGAAACTAAATATACCAGCAATTTTGCGAGCACCCAAGGAGAGAAAACCCAGTAAAAAGGAAGGTGGAACTCATAAGACTACAACCCTTCCAGCAGTACTTTATAGGCAAGTAGCAGAATACCTCTCTTGTGCTCATTAGAAGAGCAAACTGCATAATTGAAAAATCATAAATTTGAGGTTGAAAAAAGAAAATTTGTTCTGTTCTCTCCTCTTCACTTCTTTCCTAACAACTTGGTAGAAAATAAAAGAATTACAAGTATTAGTGCCTTGGGTTAATAATTCATCTCAGGCTGATATGGCCAATATTGCTTTTAACAAATTTCAATTTCAGTCAACTGAATATATTTTTTCTTCCATTGCTTTCCATTTCTAGATGCTACAATTTGCTATCTAACTTGACTGTTCGTTTTTGGGTTTTTTTATTTATAGTTAAAGCTTGGCTATAAACTACTGATAGATTCCACTTTGAAAGAAAATGTATTTTATACCTAAATTATTCAAATCCATGTTTATTTTTTTTAAAAAAGTAAACAAACTAGCATAGAAAAGACAGAATTGCTGTAGACTATATCTAATCTTTATATATATTATTAATCTAGATATTTATTGTTACACTGATATAATTCATTTTATTATCTGGTTCCCTAATTAGAATTTAAGTGGCACTCTTAGGGAAGCCTAAGACTGAAGATGAGAAATGGAAGAAAACAATCTTTCTGTATTGTTACTAAGAAAATGATGTAAAAGCCACTATAAGTTAAGCTTTACATAGAGAGTTTATTTTATATGTATATACTTAACTATGTAAGAATAAATGTTCAACACTTACGAACAAGTATTAAGACTATAATACATGTCTTGTTTTATAGATTCCTTTCTACAAACTGGGGTCTGTCAGTAGTTTGCTTGATATTTTTAGAAAGTAGTCACCATCTGCTCCTGGCTGTTTTCAACATTTTATAATAAAACGATTTAACTACTAAATCTCTAAATAGATAGTTTTTATGCTAATAGCTATTAATATAGTTATCCTCCTAAATTATGTATTTATTAATGTACTCACTCATTGACTTACTTTCTTAGAAATGTGTCTTAGTGAATCTATGTTGATTCACTTATTTCCTGGCAATATGACTAAAATTAAAAACAGTCCAAAGTTAGCTTGGATTTGAAATTAGTCTTATATTTTTAAAATTTCAAGAATTTCAAGATAGTAACTAATCTTTAAAATGCCCTGGTAAATAAGAATATTTTAATTATCTGCTTAAGATCTTCTGCTTATGCATAAGGATCTCGGGATTCTACCCCATATTAATTTTGAGACAGCTTAGCAAAGTATTTGCATTTTCTCAAATGAAACCTTTTCCTGCATTTCCAAGTTGTGGGATTTGCAAGAAGAACCATGATCAGCACCTCCTTTTGCTGTGTGATACTTGTAAACTCCATTATCACCTTGGATGTCTGGACCCTCCACTTTCAAGGATGCCAAGGAAGACTAAAAACAGTTACTGGTAAGAATATTATAAATATATCCTCCTATTTCCTTTGGGATTAAGAAATAAGATCATGCACCTACTATATAGGAATCTGAAGGTTTTTCATGCAAAGTTTTTAATTTAGATCTTACTGGAAAGTTTTTCAAATGTTCTTATATGCTTTTTGTTCCCATGGTGGTGCTGATGCTTGAAATTTTGCAAAACAGAGGTCCCTTCTTTCATAACTTCATTGTGCTGAGGAGGGTTTTTTTTAAAAAATATATGCTGAGCTAATGTAAACAAATCACTGATTTATTTTCATAGAAGTTAATTTTTATAACTTTTTAAATGATTAGGTTTATTGAAGTTTACATACAAAAATAAAAAGTGATACAAACTAAGAATATTGATAAAAAACAATACAAACTTAGAAGAATATAAAAAGTAAAAAAAGTACAGAGAAAATAAATAAAAGTAATAAAGATATATAAAGAAATTATTTTTCCTTCATCAAAGCAAGTATGAACAATTTAAATAATGTATTTGCTTTACTTTCATGTAAATATGGGAAGACAAAATCATCTCATATCTCATCTCTTATTTATAAACATATATACAATATGTATGAGTCCTTGATAAGGATGCGTTGTTACCTGAGGATTGGCCCCTACTGCCCTATCAAAAGTTTCCATTTCTAACTTTTGCTACAGAGGGAAAATGTTAAATGTATAAAAGTAGTCATAATAAAATATTTTGTAATAGATCTATTACATTTTGGAATACAAAGACTTGCATACCACATGTAGTTCTGAATGCAGAGAACAGAACAGAGTTATTTCATTGGTGTTCATGATAAGTTTCATTTTAAGTATTTAATAATGCATATTTTCAGCAACTGCTTTTGTTAGTGTTGCTGTTACCTGTTACTGAAAAACTATAGGAAAGTTCAAAGGTAACAAAACAAACAAAAAAGCCTCTATGCTGAGTCTTAGCACCTAGATAACGCATTTTGAGGCCCTTAGTTGTAATTTTTAAAAGCAGTTTTTAAATCCACATACGTTAATGATATTTTGATACTAATTTCTATTGATTTGGTTTTTGTTATTATGTTCTGGCTAATCTGTTTCCAGAAGAAATCTTAACTTAAAGCAGTATCAGCCTTCTTGCTGTATTTTAGAGAGGGCAGTGTTTGAAGGGTGGGTTTGCATTGTAGATTCCTGATATAATGGAAAACTCCATCAGGCCATTCATTGATGTGGTATTTTCAATAGGTATGGCAGGGATAATTATATATTTATGTCTATTTTTTTCTTTCTTTGGAGATTTTGTGGATGGAAATAGCGACAGAAAATCTTTTGGAAATAAGCCCTGAAAAATAGGCTGAAATAATGAGGTAGAGCGTTGCATAAAGTTCCAGAGGTGTCTTCCATTTTAAAGTTATTCATCTTTTAATGCAGAAGTTACAAATAAGAACCACTGACTTGAAGATCATACTCATTTAGACTAACTCCATTAATGGTACTGTTTTTTGCTGTCATTGAATTTAAAGACCCCTCCTTATATTATTTTATTGGGAGATAGGTGGATAGTGATAATAAAAATTAGTAGTAAATAATAAATAAATAGATAACTGATAGATACCATATTGAATTATTCCTAATATATTGTAGGATTGAATGTATACATATAGAACTATTGTATACCATCTAGAATTTGTTTAAATGTTTGGTTCAGGCATAAAGAATATTGAAGTTAACTTTCAGTGACCAGATTAAATTGAATTGTAATTCACTGGTTATTCTGTCTTTTAGTCATACTGAAAAAAAATATTTTAAAAGCCATATTATCAAGAAGAAATAAACTAATATCCCAATAATAAAAAGTCAAAGATGTAGAAGGCTTTTATTTCCAAAATATATGTAGTTGCTACAATTTCATGCTTCAGCTACATTTGTGATCACAAGCTTGGCTTTCACTTTTAATTTAACTAAGGTATATTCAGTGTGATGGGATTATAACTGAGAAATTGAGACTTATTGATTGCATCCGTTTCATCTTTAAATGTGCCTTTATTAATTCTTTTCAAAATCAAAAGAAATAGTATAGAAAGTTCTGTTGAAGTTTTGCATTAGAAATTTGAAGTTCCATAAAACAATATCCCTGCTACTTACAATGTTGTTTCTATTTCATATGTCCTTTTTTTTACTTTTGGAAGGTCATATTTCTGTGACAAAGAAAAAGTACATAATTCTGATTTATTTTTTATTGCTAGAATTGTATTAAAATGTACAATAATAATATTTATTGGATAATAATACTACTTATATTGGAAAGCCCTTTTTATTATCTGTTGTAAAATCTTGACTTTGGAAAGGTAATAGTTTTCTAATGGATTGTCTAGAATATTTTTACAGCTTAAAGAATTATGGAGTATGCATGGGAAGGATATAGCCAGCAACTCACATAAGTTTGGATTTCAAGTGACAGAATTTCTCAGCCTGCATTCCACTGCCAGTCAGGTCTTGATATTGAAATCCACTGATCCATGTTGGGAATCTAGTTTACTTTACCTATTCAGAATCTAAACTTAGTTAAACTTGTATAAGGTTTGGATGGAATATTGCTAAGGAATACTAATGAGATAGATTGACTGGGAAGTTGAAAAATATCTTGAAAGAGGAAAATAGCAAAGTACTTTAGTATTGCTGCCAAGAAAACTGTATAAACATATTCATAAAACTACCAAAAATTAAATTTTGCCTGAAAAGACTTTTATCTTATCTTATTCCTTAAGATATTTGATGTGAAGTTACCTGTTAAAAAAGTGATGAATATTGGATGCATTTGTGTCAATGCTTTACATTTTGTACTTTGGGCTTTTAAAACACTTGATATAGAAAAGAAAATTATAGACATAATATTGGAGTTATGATAGTTTCTCCTAAGATTCTGCATTTTTTTTTTAAAAAAATAGTACATTAAAATAAAGATTTCATTTAAATAAAGGCATTTTGTATGGGCAGCCATCTTAATGTCAGAACCTTTTAGCTTTGCAGCTATATTTGTACTATAAAAATATTTTCCAACTAATAACGTTCAAGTAATTTATTTTATGTAAATACACAAGAAATGTTTGTGTTAACTTTCTGTTAATTGCTATCTCAGCTTTCTTTCAGGAGACTCTATATTTATAGTAAACTTCCTTTCCTCCTTTTGTAAAATGTTTGTTTTACATTTGGGATTCTTGCCATCTTTAATTTGAAGTGATTAATTGACATCCGAAAGACACCCAAAGTGATTCAGCTCATCTTTCTCCAAGAGATCAAATTCATTATGGGAATTTGTAAAGAAGAACTTATAGTAATGAAAAAAGAGATCATATACCTGTGTTCTATATCAGGGGCATCAAACTCACATCGTCATGGCAGGGTCACCTGACATATTAGGACACTTTTCCCCTTTGCTAAACTGTGCATGGCGTGGCCAGCAATGTAATGCGTCTGGCCCACAGGCCAGGAGTTGGACAACCCTGCTCTATATAAATAAAGAAAGCCTGATAAGGATGGGGATGAAACATTTTGCCCATGTGTTTTTCTCATATGCATTAAAATCTGTACATGTGAAAAATATACCACTGTTCCCTTTCCCTCTGTATGTGAGATTTTTGCTTTCTAAACATAATCTTTTTAAAAAAACATTTTTCCCAGCCTGTATGTTTTTGTTTTGGAAGCTGCTGGATTCAGTTTGAATTTCTATATATGTTGTCTTTCCAGGCAATGTTCAGAATGCGACCAAGCAGGTAGCAGTGACATGGAAGCAGACATTGCCATGGAAACTTTACCAGATGGAACTAAGCGATCAAGGAGGCAGATTAAGGAGCCAGTAAAATTTGTTCCACAGGATGTACCCCCAGAACCAAAGAAGATTCCTGTCAGAAACACGGTAATTGATAGCCAAAGCAAAATACACATATATAAGCCTTTTAGTTTTAAGTGCCAAGTATCTCACTATGAAAAATTATAGCTGCTTAAAAATAATAATTTATTCTAGGTTTTAGTATAAAATGTGAAGCATTTTGGGATCACAAACTGATTTAACCATGAAAAGTAAAATAAATTTTGATTTTTTTCTTACATTTAGTTCATATTATTATATATTCTGCAGATAGTTTTCCTTTTTGAATATATAAGTATATTGGAATTTAAAACATTAAGTAGACAAAAATGATCCTTATTAATTCATGCAATGTAATAAATAATCTTATTTTATGTTTGAATGTGTAACTTTCATCCTTCATGTGAATGTAGATTTTGATGTGACAGTGCTATAGAACAAAAATTTTCTCATTGTGCATTTGGAAATGTCACATATTCAAACTATGCTATGTGAATAGCTGCAATTCAAATACAGTGAAAAACTTTCAAGTCTCCTTGGCTGACAGAATATTTCTGTATTTTTTTAAGTTAGCTTAGTTGAGTCATTAGCATAAACCTTTGCTAGTGAATGAAATCATTTCAGAATGAATAAGTGGATGTGTTTATGAAATGGTTCCTCACCTATTTACTAATATGAACATATTTTACTTGATCTATGCAGTTCATGGAACAAACAATTGTCTTTCTTTATGCAATGCTGCTGAATTGCTTGATGCTACATATAAATAACATTTAATGATTGTACTTTTTCTTATTTTAAATAAACTAAATGAAATATAATATACAATAAAATATACAAAACCATTATAGAAGGAATTTTTATAATTAGCCAGAGATTTTTGTCCCATAGCAACCTATTTTATATACTGCAACCTATTTTTAATGAGGTCTTGCCTTATTTGCTTGTCAGAGTTAGACAATAAACTCAAGTCACTTAAATCCCTCATTCTGGGATATTTCTCTGGTTTGCTGCCTTGACAAGATTAACTTTCTTTGTGTAGTCTGTGACTATGGGTGATTAAGTACTGTGTTATAGAAATTTTCTCTGTACAGTACTATCTTATACTGCCTTCATTATAGTAACATTCTGTGTTACAATTTAAAATGGAATATTGTTCAAGAAATAAGCACGTATCTATTTTTTTCTGGCTCCTATTTAAAAAATCAAATAATTAATTTTGTCCAGGTTTAATAATAAATATTATCCCAAATATTGTTATTGGACAGAGGTATGGTTCAACTGCAGTTTCCCTAGAATTATTGCCATCTGGTTAATAACTGTATTGCCAGAATGTGGAATATGAATAACTTGTTTGGGTTCATTCATTATTATAACACAGATCATATTATGAGTATTACTCCTGGTTACTGAATTATAATACTGATGCTGCCTCAGTATTACCAAATATATTAGTTTGAATTCAAGCCAAATATAACTTTCATTGGCATCCCTTTTCTTTTCTAGACCTATATGTTCTAAAGAAGAGCAGTTAAGATATGGAGAACTTTGCAAACAAAGACTTATTCTATAGGTTGTATAGTCTATGTGTTGCTTTATTACGGTGTTCCACTCTGATATAAAATATGTAATAAGTGATAATGTTTGTGAATGAGATGTAAAGACATATTAAATTAGCTACATTCACATATTATATATGCTTGGCTGCTTTTAACCATGGGCTACTAAGGCAAAAACAAACCAAAACCAGTTATACCATTTATTTTCCTTTAATTTGTAACTGTGTTTAGTTCCTCCTGTGGATTCATTAGAGGTCTAACATAACATATAAAACATAAAAACACAAGAGTAAACCAAACAACTCTGATTCTCATTTGTGCATATACCAGGGCACAATCACAATTAGGGCATCAACAAGAAATCATGCTTTCAGACTGGTTTATTATCTTAGCCTATTTGCAGTTCACATAAAATTGCAAACAAGCAAACTGTTTTATGGTTTTATTGTATGGTATATCCATCTCTCTTTCAGAGACTTATTTCAATTCACATTTACTTCTATAGCAAAGAAAACTTCTCCCACCTACTGGTAGTAGTGGAAAGGAAAATAAATTTTTTAAGATAAGAAGCAAATTATTTGTTTTCTCTACTGTGATTTCAAATGGAACATTCTTTTTCCACTCCCATATAGAGATCACTACAGATACAATATAAATAAGGCAGAGAAAGGGTATGCAGCATATTGCTGACGAGATTTTAAAATATAGGTTTGTAAGTTGTCTGTATGAATGCTTTGGTATTAATAGCATTAACAAGAAATATGTAGTAAGAGAACTAATCCAAGATAAATTCTCCAGATTTGTATTGGTAGTTGCGTCTTGGTTTTGCATTTATAATGTATTACATATATTTGAAAAAAATGAATAATGTGGATAGGTACATAAACTAAAACACTCAGTGATCCTACTCAAAATACTGAGATCCACATTATCCTTTCTGATCCTTTCTTCGGAGACTCTGTGCTAATAGAAAAATATTAAACAAAATTATATATAATTTAGATGTACAGAGATGCTCTGCAGTGAATCACTTATTTAGCTCATTACTAAATAATGTTTTTGAATTATTTACATCTTTTAACAATAATTGCTTTTGTCTGGAGAGTCTGCCTATATTGATTTTGTATGTTTTATTAGATATTATATATCATTCAAAGTTTATTTAAAATAGGAAAAAGTATAACCATTAAATGTTTACCTGTAGTTATAATAAAGATTAATGACAGATATAATCACAGATTCAAAAAAAATTAAAAAAAATTTTTTTTACAATTGGTTATTCACATTTATATGCTGATGAAGATTGTGCTAGGAGAAAATATATTTCAATTTACTTGAAAAATTGCCATGTGTCAATTTTTTAAAAATACTTTGTCCTTTTATATTTTATACTTATGTACTATATATTAGGAAATTCTAAATACTATTTTTCCTCCCATTATCTCTCCCAATTGAAAGAGAAATAGGAACTATTTTCCTGAATTTTTCTCAGCATTCTTACTTCCCCTTGTCCGTAAGCAGGGGTGGGATTCTACCAGTTCGCACCTATTCGCAAGAACTGGTTGTTAACATTCTAAGCAGTTCGGAGAACCGGTTGTAAGAAGAAATTACTGGCCTAATCCTGTAAGGAAGGTAGGAAGGAAACATTCTGGTGTTGCTTACAGAAACTGCCTCTCTGTTAACCCTTATTACATTCTTGGCAGGACTAGACTTCCTGTCTCAGGAATGTCTCTGGAGTTTTTTCCCCCTCCTATGCTGGTACTTTGCTTGTGTGGAGTGACCATTCAAAGTTACAGTGGCACTGAAAAAAGTGACTTATGACCAGGGGTGGGATTCAGATTTCTGGTTCTGTGGGCATGGCCTATTCTCCACTGAGCCGAAGGGAGAGTCCAGGATGGGTAGTCGCTAGTCTCTTAGCTCTGCAGACCGAGTTGAAAAACTGAGGACACACCCCCTGGTAACGGTCCCCAGTTCTTCACTCGGTCTCAGCGTGTTCAGGCCACCCTTTAAGGGCTCTGAATAGTTCATATGGTAGAAGAATTTTCACCCCCTGGATTAAGCTTTTTGTCTTAGAGAGGCTTAGATCAGGTTTGATAGCTAGCCGGCTTGCTGGTTTAGCACTTTCATTTTTTCGCACCTTTTTTTCCGGTTTGCATTTTTTTGCTTATTATTTAATTTTTAAACTTTCCTTGCTGGTGAACTGGTTTTTTCCCCCTTTCTGGTTGGAATTTGGGTGGAGGTGTCCCTGAGAGCTCATGTGGCCCAGGCTGGGGGCGGGAGGAGGCATCTTATTTAACTCGCCTTCTCCCGATCCACTTTCCCTTGACTTGGGCTAGCCGCATCTGCTGCTAAACACCCCTTTTTTTCGGTGGCGGCGGCCATTTCTCACCTTTGGGGATAATCTTGCAGTTCGTCTCCAGGATTGTCCTTTCGGTGGGGGGGTTGGCCATCAGGATTGAATCCTGACCATCTATCCAGTCCCCAGAGCACTGTGGCAGCTGCAAGACGCTTGAGTCTGCCAGATAATTGCGGTGCAGCCAGCGCCAGGCTTGCAAGCCTCTGACCTGTCAGGGCTTGCTTCAATTCAAAGAGTCAGCCGTTTTTCACCTTTTTTTTCTTTGACTCGATTTTTGAATTGCTGAGCTGGGCTGAGCTCACCACTTTGGGTCGCACTAGCCTCCTGAAGTGGTGGACAGCTACTGTGGCTGTAGCAGACAGCATTAGGCTAAATAATTTTTTTCTTCTTTTTCCCTTTCCCTTTCCCTCCCTATCAAGTGACAGTTAATTTTGGCGGGCTCAAAATGGCCACCAGGGGAGCTGATCAAGAACTGTCAGTTCCTCAGCAGGGTAGAGAGAAGCTGTAAAGGGATCTCCCAAGCCCAGGTCTGCTGGACTGGAGGCAGCAGCTAGGATTGAGCCAGGGCTCTAGCCCCTAAAAGACCCTCTAGGGCTGAGGATAGGCAGGCCAGGCTCAGACAAAAAGCCATAGATAAACAGTTTGACAATGCAATGAGAGATTCCAGGATGGCTGAAAACAGGGCCACCTCTCCTCTGCCTCCACAAGATGACAGGCAGCTAGACCAACAGGCAGATAGGCAGTATTTGACTGCCTGGTCTCCTGGTGGCTCAAGTATTCAGGATTTGCAGGGAAACCTCCAAATCAGGGCAGAGAACTCTCACAATTTTGCTGAGCCACCTCAGGGGATCCTGATTGCAGCACCTGCAAGCCAAGTCTCCAGCGGAGCCAGACCTGTGTCTGCAGCCACCTTTACACCTACAGCAGCTGGCTTATGGCTTGAGGAGACCCAGATGCAAGAAATGCCATCCTTCATGAGAGCCTGGATCTCCCAAACAATAAGACAGCAATTGCAGGCAGAGGTCAACCAGCTGCGCCAGCTGTCTTATTTGGACACTAACAGAGGTGTCCTTTAGGGGCAGGGGCAGGCTTCTGCAGAACAGCTGATCCACTTCAGAGAGTGCTCGGTCTCC